TCCTCCTCCTCCTCCTCCTCCTCCTCCCCCTCCTCCTCCTCCTTCTCCTTCTCCTCCTCCTCCTCCTCCTCCTCCTTCCCCTTCTCCTTCTTCTTTCTCATCTTTTTCTTCCTTTTCCTCTTTGTTGTTCATGATTTGATCCATGTGCCAATTGTTTGTGTTTGCTGTTGGAACGTCAATCAGGTGGTCGTCCATAAAGGAGAGGTGGTTTGCAGAGGACAACGATCTGTTGTCTAGTGATTTAAAGGTAAGCGATTGTTACCAGCCGGCCTAGCTCAGTTGTTACACCCATGAACTGTTGAATTCCAGAGGGGAGTTCGAACCCAAATGCAACCAGATGAAGCGAACATAATAATTCTGAATTACCTGGGGCTGGTCAGTTCAATGATGATATCACAAAGCCGATGGAAGCACTTGTTAGAATACTTGGCATTCCTTTGCTCAGAAAGTATGGTTTTGTGCGGATGGAAAGAGGATCCTGACACGAGGAGCTGGAGATGGATACAACTACCGTCTTCCCCCGAACAGAACGTACTCTCATTATAGCGGTATTTGGGGCAAGTTTCAGTATAGATACAGCGATAACAACATTACGTTCTGTTTGGAGGAAGGCGGCAATCGAAAAATAAGGTACTCCAGGGTGATGACGTACCTATCGTGTCAAGATGAGCTCAACTCGGTGCCAAGTCTGCCGACACATGCGTCTGCCCGATCCTGCAATGAGCAGAGAGACATGTATGAACTTGCAAGGTTGTGCAACCAAAGCTTCTTGCTCAGAAATCTATACTTTCACCCCCCTCATTAAAAGAAGTACTAATCTCTTTTTTGAAAAAATCAACTTTGGTCGTAATGGAAAAAGCATTGAAGCAATCAATATGCTGATCAGGGTTCTTTCAGCCATAGTGGACAGAAGTGTACCTGTAAAGAGGCTTCATGTTACCTATAGACTTGCCAAGTGAATAGGAACCAGTCAGCGGACGGACGGACGCTCTACTTAATCCACCAGTACACCCGGTCCTGGAGGCGGCTTACTGCACGCCAAGCTTTTCTGAACCGCGGCCAGCGCACATTTTTTCCTTTTTTGGCTGGCAGGCCAGCCATTGTGGTCCGGTAGGCCGAGCCTCCGACATTTTCGTAGGCGAAGAGTTGCATTTTCAGCAAGGCTGGGGCCGTGCACTGGCGGTTTAAAGCACCAGTACACGGCTACCTTGGCCGCGGGCCTGACACCTTCAATTCCGGAGGCGCGAAACGAAAAAGTGACCGTCGATCCAATATATCAACGGCAGGCCCAGCATTTGACGTTTCGGCCTCGTTTTCTTGTGGCAACAAGTTTTGGACTGCAAGGCTGGGGCCGTGTACTAGAGGTTCAATAGAATGGCGTCTGAACCATTAGACCCTAGGTTGTCTATCTAGTTTGACAGGACTTTCCCTTAGGCGAAAAAAAAAAACAAAAAAAAAAACAAGACTTTCCCTTAGCAACTCAAAAAAAATGCAGAATGCTTTTGTTTGAAATTCTTTCTTATTTAAAAGTTATTTTTGTGCGCCCAAAATTCTAAATCTTCACTGTAGCATTCTATTCATTTGACTTACGGGACTAGCTCAGTTGGTACGCCCACGAGCTGTAGACGTGCAGACCCAAGTTCGAATCCAGATGCTATCTGATGAGCAGAATTTATTAAAAAAAAAACGTAAGTTGCGGTCTTACTAGATGCAGTTGTAATGTACTTCGAAGACCGATTATTCTGTAGCGAATCTGACAAGCTCACTCATTTCCAATGTCGCTTAAGGCACCAGGTGACTTCTCCTACCAGCACCTCAAGCTGCCTCTGAGGTTGTTTTTTTGCAAAAAAAAAAAAGAAAAAAAAAAAAAGAAAAAGGCACCAGTACACCACTCATCAGCCCGCAGACGTCAGCATGAAAAACCGCACCACTTCGGAGGCCGTCATTTTTTTTTTTTTCAACGGCGCCCCTCGGCGCCTCTGAGTTTTGCTTGTGGCGGCAAAAACTTTCTGCAAGGCTGGGGCCGTGTACTAGCAGACTAGTAGCAGTTTAAGTTTCTTAACCTACTTTCCATTTTATTTTTTTTTCAAGGGAAGGCAGTGCAGGGGCCGTTTTGCGAGAGGCCCGCAGGGGGCGTTACGCGAGGCCCATTTTTCCCTTTACTTGGAGTAGAGAAGATGGGCACTGGAACTCCTTGTCTTTTTCTTTTGTCTTTTTTTTAAGGAACGCTGTAGTCTTTTCATGAATTCCCCTGGAATGGGTAAGCATCCTGCGCAAAGGGCCACGACTGGAAGAAGGGGACTGGGTATCTGTACCGGGCGACTCAGAAAGTGTGGGAAATGTGGTGGACGTGCAGTCGGATGACACTTTGCTTAACCTTTTTCACGTAGGCAAGGATAATGTCCTTACCCGATACTCCCCGGATGTGACGAGATGGGGAAAAAACAAGGATCTACAGAGGATCCTTGTGTTACGGGACAAGGATATATGGACTGCATATCAGCCAAACACCCCATTGGTCGAGCTCCCCTTGGATCCAGAGGAATGGCAGTGTTCACACCCACGGAAAAGCAGATTTCGGGGGAAGACAAAGCTGCAGAACCTAACAGTGAAGGCAACGTACCGCCTGTTGCGCCCCAAAGTAAACATTAAGGAAAAGGTAAAGGAAAGATGGAGATTCCAATTAAATATAGGAACCGAGGTGATCCGTCCTATCCGTTGGTTCACTGCCACCAGAGCCAGGCCAGCAAAGATGGTCTCACTGCAGTGGCAGATAGAACATCGTTGCTTACCCACCAACGACTGATTGATAGATCGTACCCATCTAGAGCAGAGAGGACAGGTGTTACCTTGGTGCAAAGTGTGCCACACTGCCTTCCCCTCCTGCAGAATCCCGGAAACTATAGAACACATATTCATGCAATGTTCGGGTGCAGTCCTCACATGGCAATGGTGGAATAGAATCTGGTCCCGTCTGGACACTGGGTCAAAATGGCCTTGGGACGGGAAAGCCATACCATGCGAGACATGGTCCTCCCCCATGGATAGCTCTTTCGAAAATAACATGTTTAAAACAGGAAGGAGAGTTGTCATGTGGGCCCTTTGGAGGAAACGTTGTATACATGCCATAGAGGGAGCCAGCACGGCGGAGGGAGAGGTGACAAAACAATCTGTCCAACAAGAACTAATGGTACAATGGCAAAGAATTAGGAATCAATTGGACTTGTCTCATTCATCCAAAGATATAGTACAAACAATCCAGCAATTCTCAAGGGACTGGTTGCGCAGCGAGAATGGGGGCTGGATTGCCTCCGTCAGATGGGAAGGCCGGCCTACCCAGGGCAACCACCAGGGAGAGTTTAGAAAGGACTACAGTATTTGTTTCAAAGACTGGACAATGGTGGGCCAGGAGTTCCCGCTGCGACCATCCACAGAATTTCCCGACCCCTTCCTGCCCCACCAGCTAGCAATGGTGGACCTGCAATGGTATGAAACCGACTGTGCAGTTTGAACGAGGGCAGAGCATATAACGGCCTCATAGAGCATCGTCCAAACAAAAGCTGGTCCCTTTGATGTTCGAGGTTTACATTTGGAGATTGGCAGTTGGGACTGGGTGGAAAAGGGGCGGGGGGGGAGAGGGAGGAACTAGTTTATAGCAGCAGTTATCTGGCGCCTGGTTCAGGGCGAAGAGGTTCTCTTCCTTTTTCCAAACTCCTGTTCAGTCAATCCTCTGGATTCCAAAGTAATCAATGCTGGCAGGAGTCTCCCGCTCCTTTTTTCCTGACATACTCCGAATTTCTTCTGTATATGGGACGCTGGACCCGTTTTCCAGCAGCTCCCCACCAATGGATGGAGCCTCTCCTCAGGTGCTAGTGGTGTCTGCTCTTGCCAGCACCACTATCACTGGAAGAGGGATCAAAAAAAAAAAAAAAAAAAAAAAAGTATTTTCATGAAGAAAAGCGCCCTTCTCACGTCGCAACAGGTAAGCCACCAGTTCACATGAGCGTTTCTTGATGAAGCTACCTTCCAAGGCTCGCGAGCTTGCAATTTCGCCTTTTCAAAGTGTCCTGCCGTTTTCCGTACCGGCCCAGTCACAAATCAAAGCTCTCTTGCCACGTCAACCGGCAATACCAGTACTTGGCTTCGGGTCAATTGGCGGTTATATACACCAACGGTAATAGATCTCCCAACTTCTCTGCTCTCACCGGTCACCTACCTTGAAGTTCAAATCTTCTCTTCTCTCGCCCTCTTATCTTTTTTGCGCCTTTGCCTTCTACCCATGGCTGTGCCGGCAACCGGCCGGTTGGACCGGCCCGGATCCAACCGGGCCGGTTGGACCCCCGGTGGTCCAACCGTAATTCCGGTTGGGTCCAAAACTGGGTCAATTTTTTTTATTTTTTTTTTTTGAAAACATGGTTGGACCGCTCACCGAGATCTTCCCGAATCCGCAAAGAAAACTTTGAACAGAGAAGTTTCGTTTGGGGG